CGCTACTAGGAGCAAGGACGCTACTAGGGGCTCCTGGCATCGCTACTGGGAGCAAGGACGCTACTAGGGGCTCCTATAATTCTAGCTTGTTCAGAAATATGTGCTTGCATGTTTTTGCTTGTTGTTTGGAGTTTGACTCCGTGAGAATCACCAAAAGGATCCATCTCTCCGGGGTAATTTCACCTGCAACCTGCAAGAGTTATTGTCATTGTAGCTGAATCCCATAGGCTGACAGAGTGCAACGGTTGAACAACGTCAACATTAGTCGCATGAGTTTTTGATTAGATGTCACCAGTGAAGGACTCGCTTGACTTTTATTGTGTTTGCATCGAACCCACAGGTGCTCATCCTCGGTTTGCGTCCGCAATCTGGGCTTGCCTCACCTCTCTTGCTGCAAGCGACTCTGGAAGCCTTGTCTCATAAATTCCAGCAGGAGGACGTGCTGGGCGCGCATGGTCGGATCAAAGTTGCCACTTATGAACCCCGCAAACATCCCCACATCATTTTATCTATATTCATGTGCAGCTGCAGCGTCCTCAAGCAGATCAAATCAAATGTCTTCTTCTTGAACTATCCCCACAATCATATACAATCATGAGACGCAGACTTTTTGATATGTGTAGTCGTCCTCCTTCTTGCATTTTTGCACTTGAGCTCGGTGGGCTTTTTGTCTTTGACGCCATTGGCGGGTTTGAAAAGGAGCCAGGTGCCTTCAGCTCGCTGGAGCTGCTGGGTGTCCGCCTGGTGGATCTGGACACGCTCAGCTCGATGAGTGGAGCGGACAGCGCCTTGCGGACCACGACCAGCATGGCGCTCCAAGGCTTTCGAAGCTTCGCCCAGGTGGCGCGACATGCCTTGGATGAGGCCTCCAACTACTGGTGGAGCAGCACCTCGGATTTGATGTGGTTCTCCTTGGGGTGGTTGGGGGTTTCCTTTCTTTGTAGCTTCTTGGGAGTTGAACAAAGATGGAATCATGCTTAATCTTGTTACAGCTTGAAGAAATTCTTGGTATGACTATGTATGAATGAGGTTTTGTAACACCACAGAGCTGATGCTGACGGCTGCAGCTTCAGCTTACTTTGTTTCCAGTTCTAAGTGCTACGTGTCCTTCAGGTTTGAGCTCTCAACCGAGGTGCTTCCGGCGGCGAGGCTATAGAGCACGGCGTAGTGTCACTGATCTGCCTCCGCGGAGAAAACGCCATCCGCCGCTTCAAAAACTTTTTGGTGCGCGAGTGGACGCTAACCGCAGCCACCTCCGGTGAGGTGCTGTTCAGCCCAACCCGTGCAGTCGCAAGGCACGGTCTTTGTTTTGTAAAAAAGGTGCTCGAGTTGGAGTCCTTCAACTCCACAACTCCATTGTATTTCTGGAATCCTTGCAGGCAGTGCTACCGCGCGTTCTTCCAACTGGAGGAGCCAACCTTCCAGGTTGATCCGCTCAGCTCTGTGCATCGCTTCTCACAAACACATCGGCTGAGCGAGGACTGCCGGAACCCGCGCTCTAATGACCCTAATGCGGGTGATATCATGTGATGTCCACGTCAAAAAACCTCTGGCATCGTTTGACCCGGCCAATACTCCGAAGCGCGGTTCCTCTTCGCCGCAGGCCATTTGCTTTCCTCGAGTTGGGCGACCTCAGCAAGCATTTGCGCTGATCACTCCACCAGACCTGAATGCGACACTCTACCGGGCATTGACAGCGCCTTGGGTAGCACTTAGGTGCCAAGCTGGCAGGTACAAAGGCTGAAGGAAATCCACAAGGCACTGAAAAAAAATCAGAAAGGGGAGAACACTTGCAAGACAAGAGACGACAACCGTGTTGACCATTCACAGCAAAGTCAGGTATCAGCCTCGATCCAATTCCAGATCACCGAGGTCTTTGAACAACAGGGCTTCCAACTGCTCGGCGCCTTCGCCCTGGGCCCACTGCCACATCCTTGGGCAGAGGCCCTTTACGCACAGGACCGTGTACCCTGCATGAAGTGTGAAGAGTTTCAATGCGAAAGGGTCCCTCTCGGGCTTTGTGGAGGTGTACCCTTTTGAGGGCCAGTAATTGACAGGAACTGTCTCACTTGGCAGGAACTGGAAGACGGCAGCTTGAACAAGGAGGACTGGCCGGCCTTCTACGAAGCCATGGGCAAGGGCGAGGATGAGGACTTCAGGTGCCTGAGAAGGACATTTGCCCTACGGTGAACGTGAGAGATTTTGGGCCCTCAAAGCTTCAAACTGTAGTGTTTGGAAAGCCCACACACGCTTGAACCCTTTGTCCTTTTGCCATGGGAGATTGGATGGCATTTTGTGTCTCTTCTTTTCACCTGCAAACCTTTTGATTTGCCCACTGTTGCCAACAGTTGCCGAGTCTTGAGGTGCATATTCTTGGTGCTCTCCAGGCAGCAAGCAGTGAAGAAAGTTGCGCAGCTCTGTGGTGCTGCGGATCCGGAGGCAGATCTGGGCATAGAGAACCGTGGTTATTGGCTGGGGATGGAAATAGGATGAAATAGGAATGAAGAGATTGCAAGGACAATCCATGTTGTTTCCGGAACGTAGAAGGCGATCGGGATCGTGTTTTGGGACTGGAATCAATGATCCAGGGACAGCTGTTGGCTTGTTGGCTAAGGGATCCTTCGCAAATCGGAAAGCATCCCAGACCACAAGCTGCTGTGAGGTGAACCACAAGCTGCTGCGTGCGTCGCTGCGGCACGGCCGGGATCGCATCCACAACGGGATCCGCTGTGCGACGTCCCTGCGCTCGGCGGAGAAGCTACTCCGGCTGCTGGAGCCCACGGTAGCGCCCAGGGTCTGTCTACGGCGACTTGGCCTCGACGCGGAGGCCGCCCAGCAAGGTGCGGGCGTCGGACGTTCTTGTGTTTAGCCCCCCACCCTTACTTAACTAGGCCCTATATAAGTAGGCGCCTACTGAGGGCTAAACAAACTGCTAGGTGACCTGCTGCTAGCGATCGGACGCAGGATAGCTCATGCTTCCTTGAAGAAGCGCTCGCACTATTCATTTGATTCGATCGTGAAGAAGTGCAGACATTCAGTAGAGGGACCTTTCTCAGTTGCTTCAAGCGTCTTAGACTTTAGAGCCTCTTTGAACCTCCTTGAGACTCTGGGAGGACTTCAATGTGCTTTGTTGGTGGCTGTTTCTGCTCAGCTAAGCCACTTGCAGCTCTTGAGAGATTGTCTTCACAGTCTGCAAGCTGCACATCACACCGTGGTGGGCCTCCGCTTCTCAGCGGGTTGGCCGACGAGCGCGACGAGCGACGTGAAGGTGCCATGGAGAAACCCGATGGAGAAGGTTTCAGAATTGATCGATGCAGGGACGTGGCCCATTTTTTCTGGCCCTTGAAGGCCGCTACGTGCTGAGTGCTGCTGATGCCTTGAGTGGACTAAAGGCGCAAGGAGTTGCTTTCTACGTGGCGTCAAATGCCCAACAAGGCAGGGTGGCGAATGGGATCAAATCAAAACATTTTTCATCATTTTTCATTTGTCTTGATGAGGATCCGTTTGCAGGTGCAGCCGATGTGGCAGAAGTCTTTGGTAGCTTGCCTGGTGCCCGACACTACCTAGTGGAGGATGCAACCTCTTAGCTTTGAGCCTATGCAAGCTTTTTCCAGACCAGATGCGAGAGAAAGAGCTAGCGAGTTGAATTCAACTTGTTTTGTTAATTCATGAGGGCCAGACGAGCCACAAAGAGCAAAAGATGTGCTGTGCGAGTTGAATCTGCGAACTTTTGAGACTAGCGTCCTGTGAATCTTGACTACACAAATTCAGTGGTGGATTTTGAACGTTGTTTGAAGTTTCCATTCAGGCATTCATATCCTTGCCAGTGAATATAGAGTATCTTACGAATCCTGATTCACTGATGATCTGAGCAGAGCGTTGAGATGTGTTGAGCGGCAATTTCCAGCAGATGCCTACGCTCGGGTGTTTGAGATTGACAGCAGAGAACTCCTTGCACCTTCTCCTCCAGGGTTTTTTCTGCCTGAGGTAGTTATGATACGCAGCAGGACCTCCGCGAGTTTGAAGCAGCTTTGAGGCCATGTGCAAGCTGGCACCGCTCGACTACAAGCCATTTCAAGAGTTTTATTGGAGTGGTCAAGATTCTTTGGTTATTCAGCAAATGCATCTGATTGTCCAGTTTTGTGACTTCCAACTTGCAATGGGATGTTTCAGACAGACGAAAACCGATGACAGGTATCTGGCCTCGCAGCACAATCGTAGCGCGTGGTCCCCAAATGGGATGTCGGCGCTGATGCTGGGAGAGCTGCCTGGAAGCAATGGGAACTACTGTAGCTTGGAAACTCTCTCTTTGATATGGATCACATTATAGTGTGCCCCGCTCGAACTCGAACTCGAACTGAAACAGTTATACTTATTGATGAACTCAACCCTGAAAGGATATATGGAAGGAACCGAACTCGATCTCGAACTCGATCTCGAACTCGAACTGGAACAGTTAGAAGTGAACCCGAGGGACGAATAGAAGGAGTCGAACTCCATAATCGCTGTCGTCGATTCGAATTCGAACTCGAGCTCGAACTGGTCCCCCCCCCGGGGTGTAAAGATTGTCGTCGATTTGAAATCGAATTCGAAGTAATGCTACGTTGTTCATGGCTCCTTCCTATTCTAAATTTCACCCTCGAACGGCCCGCAACAGGAATGCTACGTTGTAATGGCTCCTTCCTGCTCTAAATTTTACCCTCGGGTGGCCCACAAAAGGCATGCTACGTTGCAATGGCTTCTTCCTTTTCTAAGCATTCCTTTTACTGGCCCATCAAAAGAATGCTACGTTGTAATGGCTCCTTCCTACTCTAAATTTTACCATCGGGTGGCTCACAAAAAGAAATGCTTCGTTGTAATGGTTCCTTCCTGCCCTAAATTTTACCCTCGGGTGGCCCACAACAGGCATGCTACGTTGCAGTGGTTTCTTCCTTTTCTAACTTTTACCTTGGAATTGCCCACGAAAGGAATGCTACGTTGCAATGGCTTCTTCCTACTCTAAACTGTATCTTCGTGTGGCCCACAAAAGGCATGCCACGTTGCAATGGCTTCTTCCTATTCTAAATTTTACCCTCGGGGGGGGGGGGTTGGGGGGGGCGCAGTGCCCCCCCAGCAGCACACCAGATCCCAATAAAACAAGTGTTGGCTGCAAAGATGAGACTGCACAGCGCGGATACTTTCAACAGGTTGATTGCTTTGTTGCTAGCTTGGTTGGTTCCTGTTCTTCTTCTTTGTTGTGGGTCGTGGCGATTGCGGTTGTGGTTGTTGTCGTTGCCGTTGGTTCTCGTTGCTTTTGTTGTGGGTCGATCCAAATCATAGTGTGGCGTTTTTTCCTTCTGCAAACCAGCTTTGGTGTATATACCAAGTTCTACAAAGTTGGAAATCAGCAACTGACGGCACATTCTACAAAGCTCTAGATTTCTTTAGTGTTGCCACTTGTTGCACATTTTCTTACACATGCGCTGATGAGTTCAAACATGTTGCGGTTTTGAGGTTTGGGCTTCCACAGAGCAAGATGACCCTGCCAGACATCACCTACATTTTGGGTAACTTGACTGTGATGAGTATTGAAAGGGCCTCAAAAAAATCTTTTTGGATTTTGTATACAGTTTGTGGTATGTGTGTGTTAAAGTTTCAGTGTGGGGAAATCATTCCAACTACCTCAGCCCGACTTTTCTTAGACTTTGAAGTTTCTGCTTGTGCAGAGCCTTTGTTTGCATTGGCAATTTGCAGCTTTAAATGCAGTGAAGTTCGAGACACTGCTCCTACATAAATGACTGTCATCACAAGCAATGAAAGGCAATGTGATCAATTCGGCTTTGGCAATGGGTGTGTCCTACATCCTTTTTTGGGAGACCTTCTGCAATGCAGCCTGGCCGCTCAATTCTTTTTTTTCAAGCTTCAGAATTCTGTGCCAACAAAACTCTGCTGTGGTTCCTGTCCGGTATTTTCCACTCAGGAATGCCTCCCGGGCCCTGGCTGTGGAGCTGATGGGCGATGTCGAGAGAAGGCCAACGCGATGGTCGTCAAAGTCTTTGACGTGCGATTTTATGAGAGAGCACCTCATTGAGCTGATTTAGCTCAATCCAAAATCTTTTTTGGAATTGATTGCCGGTCCTTGCATTCAGGCAAACCTGGGGAGAATGGGATAGACACAGCAGTATAGTCTAATGGTTTGATTTGTTGAACACATTTGGGATTGGGGAGACCAGACTGATAACTTATAGTATAGAGCCATTTGTTGCCCTGAAAGCCTTTGATCAGGTGCCGGTGACGGAGGTTGATCGCTTGAATGGCTTTTGGTTGGTCTGGCCAGATGGCACCAAAGCGTGGCCTTGGAGATATCTTCACCAAAAGCTGCACGAGGCGCAAAGGGATGTAGGAGGAGGCAAAACAAACAAACAAATTTGGAAGCTGCAGCTGCAAGCACTCATCAATTGAAGAATGGAAGGCAAAGCAGTGTGAAGCCATTAGATGCCAACTGTCAGCCGATGCTTTGCAGTTAGACACAAGTGCAATCCCAACGGAAGCTAGATATTGCAACGGAATGATGGAACCCGTGCGACCACGGTTGATCATCGAAACAGGTCAACCTGTGAATTGCAGAACTAAATATGAGAGGGGAACAAAGGTGCAACTGGGGCCCTTTAACAAGGCCTCTCTTTTTGTAGGGAGGGGCCAGAGGGGCCTCATTAAGGGGGCCCAGTTGCACCTTTGTTCCTCTCAGTTCCGACGAAGGCTCCTGAGTCAGAGCTTTGGGCCCTTCGCCGTGAACGTGAGGACGAGACAGGTGCCCTCTATGGAAGGCGCGATTGATCGCCTTCTTGCTACGTTCGTAGCTAGTAGTAACAAGTGCATCGCTAGTAGTAACAAGTGCCTTACTAGTAGAAACAATAAGCTAATAGCTTCTTGTTCCTAGTAGTACGGCCAGGAGCCCCTAGTAGCGTCCTTGCTACTAGTAGCGATGCCAGGAGCCCCTAGTAGCGTCCTTGCTCCTAGTAGTAAGGCCAGGAGCCCCTAGTAGCTTCTTGTTCCTAGGGATCTAAACTATGTCAACAACAAAATTGATTCTTTCGAATCCATTCGACGTGTTTGTGGGAAAACTGTTGAACACGGAACGCCGCGCACGAAGTACTGAGCCAAATTCACGAAGCCTGGAGCCATGCCAAAAATTTGAGGAAATCCTTGGTCCCCTGTCCAGAGTCATGCAGTCATGACACAAAGGCAACTTAGGAGAACCCACGCTCTAGTTGCCGTCAAAGACGCGTCCAAATGGCAGGTCCACCCTGGCTTTGCTGGGCTCCGCAGCAGTAGCAGTGGCCTCCATTTTCCGATACTGCCGTGTGCATAGGAGGTCGAAAAAGCATGGCGCATGCTGCATGTTGTTTTTGTGAGACCTTCATTTCTCCAACTCCGTGAGTGAGACCTATGTTGTCATTCCCGAGATTCTATTTCGGCTCAGCCCAAATCTTGGTCTACTCAGCAAGGACCGATTAAGTTCAGAGACCAAGGGCGTCATGTAGCGGAGTATCACTGCAAGATGGCCACTGTGAAGCGTCGCTTCCGGACATGTGTCACCAATTTGTATCCGACCTTTGCTCGCAAAGATTGGATGGGGCAGAGGTGTTTTGGCACTGACAGTGGTACAAAGCCATCGCCCACGGACAATATATTCTCTTGTGCCAAGGGTGCAGTTGAGGTCTTCAGACAAGTATTTTGCCTTACTCAATCGGTTCCGGGGTCCAAGCTTGCAAGTGAATCAACACCCCGCCAGCATATTCTCAAGTAAGATAGAATATTGACCTGAACCCCAAAGCTGGGCAGCTGCCGTGATCAACATCTGGAATAGAGGATCAGTGAGGGTCCCGCAAGCCAACGGCTTGGGATTGTTCGGGCATCAGTACACCCGTCTCTACCCACGAAGGGATCTGCGAAAAGCACCAAGTACAAGAATCGTTTGTGCGAATGATGCGTCGCCAAGGATCCAGTTCGTTGAAGCCAAGGATGTGTGCCTGGTCCAAAGACTCTTGGGTGTTTGCTGATTGGCTTCGGGGTACCAGGGTTAACTCTCGTTTGGCTGCTTGGGCATCATCCGTCAAAAAAGTCTTTTTCATTTGATTGCTTGTGGGCTGTTTGTGCTTCGTTGTGGGTCAGAAGAGCAACGGGTTTTCTTTTGTAGTTGGCGCGAATGATAGGGATTGGTGCAGGGGGTTTCAAGCTTGCCTGGAAGGCACCTTCGCATCAACATTTTTCACTGCTGTTTCTATGATGCAGAGGCCTGGAATATTTGTATATATATATATATATGTCTAATGTCATGTCTCGAATCGTCGAAGCTCACACCATTTTTGCATGCATTGGCTCCATGGAGATAGATACTTCATTGACTTCAGACGAAGCTTTGGCTTTACTTTGCTGGCTGCTTTAGGAGACTGCAAAAAGGCCAGTCCAGTTTAGCCGCCAGGCGGATCAGCCCATGTTGCCCCGGGAGGAGACGGAGCTAAAGCGAAATATCTTCGAAGTGCCACGGCGGCTGTGCTGTGGCGGAAGACTGGAAGAGGGAGTGAATCCATCATGAACATGACACGTGATGAGAGAATATGTCAATTTTTGGGCTGACCAGGCAGGATGTCAAACCTATGGCAATCTATGGATTGGACAGTGGTCCGTCTAAGGAAACATCAGCAGGCCATCGAGGATGCTCTAGGTGTTGGGGAGCCCAAGCAGACTTGGGGGTGCTTTGTGCAGCTGCACGCGTATGAGAATTTGACAAACGTTTCTATTTTCTTGTGGGGCAAGCCTGTTTCAAGGCTTGTTTTCTCTCAAGCATCAAACGTAACTGAAGGTACTATTGTTCTTTTGCCACCCATCAAATCCATCAACCATCGAACGTCACAGTTGAGGTGACGACGTTGGAGTTTGGGGGAGACTGTGCTGCCGGTCTGTGCCACTGGGACAGCTCACTGTGCCGGTGATGACTCTGCTGACACGCGCGGTGTAATCCGAATGATCTGCCCAGGTCATGAAAAGCAGCCTCCGGGGCCGTCAGAGCTGTCAATAGAGGACAACTGGAGAAGGGAAGTTGGCACGAGTGTTTTGCATCCATATATCTTCCACTCACAAACACACAAAGACACACAAAGACATGAAGTATTTGGACCTGCTAGCAGCAAGGAAGGATGTTGCCATTTTGATTTCAGGACCTGGTCATAGACGACCTGGATCGATATGAGGTTCAACTGGACAAAGATTGGCACACTGGCTTGGAAGGAAGTGTGGTTCTTTTGAAGTGTGGTTTTTGGTGGTTTGTCAAGGGATGGCAGCGACAGCTTCAAGAAATTTGTACATGTGTTTGACTTTGAGCAAAAAGGTACACAGGCGGTAGTTGCTCCGGAAGTGTTGGTATCTGCACTTCAAAAACCGCGTCTCTTTCGACATCAGGCTTGGCACCAGAAGTTTTGCAAAGTGCTACGCTGTTTTGCAGCTCTTGGATGCTTGAGGCTCCCTTGTGTGGTCCGAGCTGCAAACAATGACGAAATCCTTCTGGAACCTCAGTTGAACTGCGCGTTGGAGCTAAGAATCTACCAAACACATTGACACCTCGCAGCCACATGGGATGTTTGGTGCTTCTTTTCTCGGGTGAAATGTTTTGTTTGAGCATTATGTTGTCCAAGCATCAATAATGAGCATCAGCTTGAGGAAAGCACATGGTGTACTTTGAACATCTCCAAGACTTTTTCCTGCACGTTGTCTTTTCCTTTTTCAATAGTTGCTTCACCGTGGCCTGCATCATGCCAAGGACCTCTACTCTCCTGGCAGCTTCTTTTGTGAGAATTTGGGTCACTGGGGTCCGAAGACTGCTACTCTGAGCCAGCTTCGATTTCGTCAATGGGAGGCTGGTTGATGGTCTTTTTGTAGGTCTGCCAAAACGACTAGTCAAGGCAGTCAAGGCACCTTGAGGCCTTACCTCACAGAGATGTGTGATCAAGCCGAGATGAGTTACGGTGTATACATGGGCATTTGCAGAAGGGTCCTAGGCTTCTTCCACCAATGCTTGATGTCTGCAGCGCAAGGTTTGTCGGGGTGAAGTCCTACGAATTCCTGAAAGACAGGTCATGACTTTGCGTCAGGGCCAGTGTCCTGGCAGGGTGTGGTTGCCAATGTGACTGTTAGGATTGCTTTTATACTTTGTTTTTCTTCTCAAAGCCTTTGGAGGCCTCTTGTACATCTGGTTGTATCAATACTATGTAGTGCTTGTGATTGTCAAATCCTCGCAATTGAACCACCATTAGATACATTATAATGAGATGCCTGCAATTGAGATAAAGTTTAGTTCAGAACCTTCGCTTGACTCGGAGGGTGCTGAGGGTATATTCCCAGGAGCAAGGCATTTGGCCTGACATGGCTAGCAAATATATTGAGTCTTGCGAAATACTGTCAGCTCTACAGCTTTGATTTGCCAAGACTTTAAAGAGTTTTGCTACACTGCCATGTTCAATCGAAAGATCAAGGCACCTCTGGATTCAATCTCGAGGTCCAGGTGGGGCACGTCGACCAACCATGGTATTTCTACCACGCAAAGCATTTGGTGATTGTTTTCACCCCATCCTTCATTTGCACAAGCGCCTAGGGCCGTAGGGCAACAAAGACCTTTGACCCGACACGAAGAGCCAGCCGGAAGGCAACGACGAGCCAGCCGGTCGTCTGGAGATGAGCGAAGGGCACGAACCCGAGTGGTTTCGAGGATTCGAGGTCCATCTTTTCGTCGAGGATTCGGTCAGACATCACGGGCCGATTCGCAGATTCACAAAGGCTTAGGCACACAATTCCTTGAAAACAGCTTACGATTCTTCAATTCACTGAAAGCTCCTATTTAGACCCAAGATTTGTAGGTCATCTTTGCGCTGCTTGGGCGGGACTGTCGAGAATGAGGGCGTCTTGGCTCGGGGTCCCAGAGCATCTCGTCTGATGCTTTTTGGACCGATCCTTTTCGGCCAAGATGTGCATCATTGCAGTGCCTTCACAGCATGGTCTACGGCGCTACAAGCTTGAGATTGAGAGCACCAAGACAGTGCTGGTGGATTGTCACCTGGCAGAACAGGACACGAAGGTGACACAGATGTGACACATAGTGACACTAGGTTCAAGGCATACCTTCCATTCGGAATCTTTGCGGAGCGGAGATGAAACACTCACACCAGACAAGTACCTCATTGCGATCAGCTCTTGGATGGAATGCGTACAAACACGCCTTCCGGAGCTGAGGTGTCAAGGGAATCCCTGAGCTGCCAGCAGAGGAGCCATGTGTCTTTGATGTTGTTCTGCACAGTTCCCTGTGTCGCGAATAGTAGGAGCGCAGCGTGGCGCTTCAATGTTTTACTTGGATTTTTTGAGCGTGCCTATCGACAGATGCAGCTTCGCACACTAGGCCCAGTGCCAGCTGAGTGTGACATCTTCTAAGTGTGACCACCTTGTTTTCTTCCGTTCGAGTTTGTTCACTATATGTAGTGGTTTCAGACTAGTCGTTTCACTATTTCATTACTTTTGTTAATTATTACTGTAGTTGTTCTTCCGTGGTGACAAGATTCCGACGTGTTCAGGTGGTCGTGGCTGGTATCTTGCAGATGAGGGCCGAGCCTTGTCACTGGGATCTGACACTCGGCAACGTTTTGGTCTTAAGAGCCACGAGCTATATTCCGTTTGTATCGCCATGCTGATACATTCACAAGACATTTGCGTGACTCTGGCTGTTCATCCCTGAATCCTTTTGGCTCCGATCTCCAGCGTGTTGGCCATCGCAAGTTCGCCATGGCGGAGTACGACTATGACTTGTTTGTCATCGGCGGCGGCTCTGGGGGCCTGGCCGCAGCCAAGCAGGCAGCGGACCTGGGAGCCAAGGTGGCCGTGGCAGACTTCGTGAAGCCTTCACCGGCGGGGACCACTTGGGGGTTGGGAGGTACATGTGTGAATGTTGGATGCATCCCCAAGAAGCTGATGCATATCTCTTCCTTGTACAGAGAAACCCAAGTGGATGCCCATGGCATGGGCTGGGAGACCAAGTCTTCGCACAGCTGGTCCTCCATGGTGACACAGGTGGATAACTACATCAAGTCTTTGAATTGGGGAGCAAAGACGGACTTGAGAAGCAAAGCTGTGAAGTACTTCAACGCGTTCGCGACCTTCAAGGATCCCCACACCATTTCCTTGGACAATGGCAAGGGCCAGATTGATCAGGTCTCGGCCAAGTTCATCCTCATAGCCTGCGGGGGTCGTCCAACATATGGTGACTACCCAGGTGTCAAGGAGTGCTGCATTAGTTCTGATGACATTTTTTGGCAGAAGAAGGCACCTGGAAAGACTTTGGTGGTTGGAGCTTCTTACATTGCCTTAGAGTGCGCTGGCTTCATTGCGGCTTTGGGCTTTGACGTCACTGTCATGGTGCGATCCATCCTTTTGCGAGGCTTTGACCAGGACATTTCGAACATGATTGGCACATACATGGAGAGGCATGGTGTTCATTTCGCCCGAGAGATGGTGCCATCCAAATTCGAAAAGACCGCAGATGGCAAAGTCAAGGTCTTTGTGAAAGATGCGGAGTATGGGATCTTCGACACGGTGCTCATGGCCATTGGACGCACCGGCTGCGCGGGGCAATTGAATCTGGAGGCTGCTGGAGTTCCTTTCCATGCCAAGTCTGGGAAGGTGGACGTCAACGAGAACGACCAGACGAGTGTTCCCCACATTTTTGCCATTGGAGATGTGATCGAAGGAAAGCCCGAGCTGACACCTGTAGCAATCCAGGCTGGTAAGCTGCTGTGCCGGCGGCTGTTTGGAGGGGCTACGAAGAAGATGGACTACACCGATGTTGCCACAACGGTTTTCACACCCATTGAGTATGGATGTGTAGGATACTCTGAGGAGGATGCCATCAAGGCGATTGGGAAGAGCAACATCAAGGTCTACCACTGCACCGCACAGCCTTTGGAGTGGAATCTCAACTCTGAGCGGAAGAATGACATGGGCTACATGAAGTTGATTGTTGACAAGGATGCCAAGGAGAAGGTTGTTGGAATCCACATCCTTGGGCCCAATGCAGGGGAAATCATTCAGGGCCTCAGTGTGGCCATCCGCTGTGGTGTCACGAAGGAGCACTTCGATGATTGTGTTGGAATCCATCCAACCTATGCTGAGTCGTACACGACCATGACTGAGGAAAAGACAGAGGGCTCTGCTTTGCCCACGAAGGGAGGTTGCTGATCTTAAAGAAGCCCTGCCCTAGCTACACCAAATGGTGTGTCGGGCAGGGCTGAGTGAGGCACGTGGAAGAGCCTTGGTGAAGAGATGCAGCAATTTTCTGTTTGCGTCTTTGAGTGGGCTCTGGAGGCCACATGCCAGAGGTGAAGAGCTGGCTCGTTTGCAAATAAGTCACTCCAAAAGCAACTGGCCACTCGCCTTTTTGAATGAGTGTTGATCGAGCCGAATCTTCACCTATTCAAGTGTGGCTGCCATCAAGGACAGTTTGTAGTCTAGTGCTGTACTCTAGCTAGGGAAATTACATAGTTGGGAGGGGATGGCAGCGACCTGGGGTTTCAGACGTCCTGAGTGAACAGCTACAGCTTTGGACGAGGTCACTTTCAGCGCTGTTGGCGCTCAGACCAGAAAAGCTTTAGAAAAAGTTTTGGCATGTGATACAGATTGCACAAGAAGTCGTTTGCCCCTTCAGTTGGTGGGCTCGGATGATTGTTTGAGGATCTGAGCCTGTCGCCGCGAGTCTTCCTCTATAAAGGACAACCTGACATGTCAGACTTGTTAACACCTCATGATTTCTGCTGTGGCTTTGTCACGCCAAAACTCAAAACGCTTCCTTTAGGTTGACATCTCCTTTTTTTTTCTTTCTCTTGGTGAAATGCTTGATAAGAAACCACGACCTGCTAGTCCTTCAGCAAGTGAAGGACTTGGACCAACCAATCATCTCCTGCAGGATTTGTGGCGACCACCGCTTATGTGTCCGCAGGGCCCTGTTTGAAGGTGCCGCAGATGTCTAGTTACAGAGTTGGGGTGGTCCAGTTTCTCCTTGCCCAAGACAGAATATTTGAATACACATACTATGGTGTACCAGGTAAAGGACTAATAACAAGAAGAAGCAGAAGAAGGAGAAAGAGAAGGAGAAGGATAGGAAAAGGAGAAGCAGAAGAAGCAAATCAAGAACAAGAGAAACACGTATGGCACATGAGCACCAATGACCTGCAAGCTAAGAGGCGGTAGGTGGATCGGTGGATGTCCTTTTAGATATGACAGGTTGATTTGCAACCATTCCACCCACATTCCAAAGGCCAGCTTTTCAATTTCTATTTGAGACCGCCCCTAGTATACTCTTCATACTCTTCAAAGCATTGAAGAAGAGGGAGAGGTCAAGCAGAAGTTTTCGACCAATGACTCGAGGTTTTCTTCTAGGTTGGAGGCCATCGCTATTAGGTTGGAGGCCATGGCCATTAGGTTGGATACGGCCTGAAGGGCGGGCCCAAAAAGGCGCTTTGAGGCTTCTTCCTGGCAGATTCCTCGGGTGAATGCTTGTGACAGCATTGGACTGTGGATGGGTTGCAACGACATTTCTCCGGTGGAAGGTTGAAAGTGAGCTACCAAAGTCCTGTGCAAGACTCTTGATGTCGGAGTAGAGCTTTTGCTGTAGCTTTGCTCTCCCAACTGTTACATCATGAATTTGTTTGTATGATTTCTGACTTGATGATACTTCACTTTTGGAACAACCATGAGAGCTTTCTGTTCGTGTTCAAAGCGCAACTTCTGTTTTAGGTTCCTCCTGGCCACAAGTCCAGCTTGCTGCCTCCCACCAGATCTCAAGACGACTGTGAGTAGGGGGTGATGCAATCAACATAAAATGGTTTGCACAAAGCAGCTGCCAGATGTACTTTTTTGGAGAAGTCTAGGATCCACCAGGAAGAAGGTGCCAAGGATCAACCCAAAATATTTTCTCACTCGCTCGGTCTCAATCCATGAAATGTTCTCGGGTGAGAGATGGTTAGTTGGAACAACGATCCCTTTCGCCAACTGGTCAAGTCCTCCTTGTCCTTATTTGGCCAGTTCAACACAGGCTCCAAGACGAGACGACGTCGACAACGACGACGACGACGACAAAAGACATCTAAGCGACGACGACAGTTTTTATGCGACGACGACGTGTCATTTCTTGTTGCGGTAGCGCAATCCGCCTTGAAAACACTATGACAGGACAGGATGCTGACTCATGAGCAAGGTTCCTTGTGGGCTGGAGGCTTTCAACGGCTTTGTGTGGCGTTTTCGAGCACAGCTCCGTCGGCCCTTGCTTAGCCGCGCAAAGCTTGGCAGCTCTGTAGACGCAAGTCTGGAGCTAGTCCCTAGCCCCAATGTGCTGAGCCTGAAGGCCTGGAGAGGCTGACGCTGTATGCCTCTTGAGCAGCCTGTGCGGTCAGAGAGTCAGCCTGTGTGGAGCTGACGAGGTTGATATTTCTGTGAGGCTGATCCAAAGTCAAACTGCCTGGGCCTCAGATAGTGTCAGTGCTGTCGACTGTCGCCTTCTTCGATCGCTATTAAACTAGTTGCCGTAGCCAAACTCATTACTGCAAAATTTCACGTGTAGCGTCCTGTCCTTCACCAGTTTTGATTGGCGTTCTCCTTTCAAGGCCTTAGCTCGGCTGAACTTTTTCCGGGACCTCCTGTTCCGTCATCACAAAGAGCATGGCCTGCCGGTCCCGACCAAGGCTTGCAGCACAAGCTGGAGGATGCATTGCGTGATGGGGTACAATATCCAGTCGTGAATGATTCCACAATCCAGTTCCACCATCGCATGTTCTATTGCTAAAAATACGTCCGGCAGGCTGAGATGGATGCTTTCTTGCAGAAACGAATGGCAGGACGCACCTGCATGAGCAGGCGTGGCATGTAGCATTGTTTTTTAATGCTGGAACCCCAACCATACTTTTGGCCGTAAACTTCAGAGGGTTGCATGGCCTTTTGTCCAGCGCCAAGATGAACAAATACCCTCAAATTCCAAACGTGGCAGGCACAACCAGATCCACTACCGCATCCAGAAGGTATGCATAGCACCCTGATGGCATTTGGGGCAGGCCGTTCTTTTTCCTTGTTTTTTGTTTCACAGAAGTTGAAGGGCCCCATGTTGTGCATATCAAACAAAATTTCATTTTACTGGATTACACTTGCTTATATAACGCCTACAAAATTTGTGGAGCGCAAGAAACAAACTACGCAACAAACTCCTGAACCGAGCGAGGACAATAATCAAAACAAACTGAGAGTGGACACGTCCATTGTATAGCCTGTTGATTTTCTTTCATTATATAAACATGTTAACAGTTAACATGAACACACGGCTATCTTTAGGTACTGTAAGACATTCTGCTTTCTTGGCCTGCCGCACTTGTCATCTCTATGAATTGCAAGGACATGGATCCTCTAGCCACTTTTCCCTTCGAAGAGGGTGAGATCACGTATTTGGCAGCTTGGCAGAAGTTCCCAAGAGGCCTCGTACAACATTGTTTGAAACCACTATGCGGGTATGAGCGAAGCCAGGCAACAATGACAATGAGCTCTTTGATGTTGTCTGCTTGTATAAAGAAAAGATTGCCAACCATTGGACAGCCTCCTATTCTCGGCGTTCTAGTGCTGAACTCTGGTTCACATATCATGTTTCGAAGGAGTATTTCCAACGACGACATGGCCTGACGCTGCAGAAGAAGCAACCCATGTTGTATTGCCCTTTCCGGACAAAGCAGCAGGCATCGGCCGTGTTGCTTTCGTTTTGCTTTCAGGGAAGCCATCCGCTAGTCCATACTTTTTGCATTGCTGCTCAGCAAACTCTCCCATTCCTGTGATTCAGTGGATTTGTAGCCTCAGCATTTGTGGACGTGAAAACCTTCATTACCCCCACTGTGCTACCTCGATTCGGATAGTTTCAGCTGGCAACGTTGTGGTTGGGTGGTTGGGTGGTTGGTTGGGTGGTTGGTTGGGTGGTTGGTTGG